CTCTCACCTGTGTTTGGTGTCAAGAGCTGGGAGGGGGTGACGGAGATGGTGCGAAAGGACAACGACAGGAAATGTGGATGTTGTGTTATAAAGGAGCAGGAATATATGGGAGAGAGACAGGCCAGCAGACGGGGAAACGGAGCAGTGGTGAGAGAGTCGAAGAAGTGATGGAGAGTGTGAGGAGGAGGAGGAGTGTGTCCAAGGGGGAGGGATGAGAAAGGGAAGGAGAGGTGAAGGAAATGGATAGAAATAGCTGATGCACTCTGAGGCGTACAGAAAATCAATAGCAGTCAAGAGCAGAAGCCACAACCTCCACCCTGCTCTCTCGGCTGTTCCCTCACCCTCCACTGCTCTCTTCCTTCACTCCTTCTCCGTATGTTCTCTTCCTTCACTTCATGTCCTTTTGCTGTCTCACTTTCCTCCTCAGTGCCCTCACATTTCCATCCCCGTTCTCGTCTTCTCCAGCGCCGCGTCGCCCTCTCGCCGTCACCCACACTCGATTTTTCTGCTGTTGCTCTTCATACTTTGTTGGTTTTAAAGTCTGTGTTCATTTTTTGACAGAATACAAGTATCTGAGATATTCGTTTGGTCAAGTGATGTTCTGACGTACAAAGCTGAGACCGGATTATTTTCAGGGGCTTCTCACTGAGTGATGGATGGAAAAGAAAAAAAATCTCAATACACCTAATTTTAGTTTTGGTTAGTTTAGCTTGAAAAATGAAAGTGTGTGTTCTTCCCGTCGGTGTGGTTGTTTCCCAAACCTCTAACTGTCCTCTCTGTGGGACACCTTTTAACTCATTCACTGCCAACGATGACTAAAGTCGTCATTTGCATTTTTTTACTGTGTGGGCGTCGGACGAGCCCCCGCACCGTGAGAACAAACATCTCAGCTCTGAAGCCGATCTTCTTCCGCGTACGTCACACGTCACGTGATCAGGAAGCAGAACATCCATGTGTTAGGAGATCGTTTTGGGCCGCTGCTGTGAAAAAAGTGAGTCGTGAACCGGAAAAGCTTCTGCCGATCACAATTCAACAACGGATTATGAAAGAACGGATAACGCTCGAAACGTGCAGATTCTTCCTGATGTAAGAGGCGAGTCTCCGCTTTGTTTTGGTTGTTTTGGGGTCGACATCATGCTAGCGCGCAACGTTCTGTCACTCTTAAAAAAAACTGTAAAAACTGTGAGAAATGCCGGCAGCGAATGAGTTAAATGGGTTCTGTGTTTAAGATAAAAATGGTTTTAACAATAAAAGATTAAAACTAAAACGGCAGATTTGGAAAACAAATTGGCCTAAACATTTTTTCCCCTTTCCTCTTAACATTCTAACCAAGTATAGCCATAAATATATATTTTGGTGATTAAAGAGAACCTTAATAAAGTGATTCTCTCACTGGTCTAAAAACCTCCACCAGTAATGCGTTGGTCTCACCGAACCGCCACACTTCCCTGGGTCCTCCACTCGGCTTTGCTGCTTAATCGGTTTTTAGAGAGAAGATGGTCTGTTTCTAACTGTCCTTTCATGAACTTTAACCTTTAGCCTGTGACTTGAGGCACATAAAATCTGAGAAGAAGCTCTCAGTGTTTTCATCAATTCTCTAAGCATTGACCTCCAACCTCTAGGTGAATTTGCTGGGACGTCCACCCCTGTGAAGATTGGCAGCTGTCCTAAATGTTTTCCACTTGAGGAGAAACTTTCTCTCAGTTTGAAAATGACCTTTAACCTTTTCCCACATTGTTGGGCAGCAACAGTTGCTCCTGTGAGATGTCTTTCTTCCTTGTGTTGAAGCTGATGGAAAATTTGGAAAACAAAAAAAAAAGTATCCTGCCTCTTAACATTCTTGCATAGTACAGCTGGAAATATATTGTGAAGATAAAACAAATGATTGCATTTGTCTAAAATCCTCCACCAATAACACTGCTCGGACCAAAAGCAACCATCGGACCATCTGGTTGTCGGTCTCGCCGAACCGCCACACTTCCCTGGGTCCTCCACATCACACACTCGCATATTTGTCAGCAGAACACCACTGGTGTGAGAGGTTCTCCGCTCAATAATATCAGAGAAGGAGAAACGGCCAGCTGCTACCGCTTCAGCTTTGGGATAATCTACCAGAGTCCCAAAAAGAAAAACACCAGTTGAAGTCACAGACAACAAGACAGTTGGACCTAGAAAACGACGACTGGTGTTTAGCGCTAGCTCGTTAGCCCTGGCACCGTGGATTCCGGTTCCGGCAGAAGCTTAAGATACCCAAGGGGAGGGGTGAGTGTTCTGTGACAGTGTTTGCGTTCAAAACTTAGCTTTTTAGTACTTAAGTTATAACAGCTACTTGTTCATTCACTTGTGCTTTTTCTTAAACGTTTACTTGGACTTTTTTGTTTGCTTTAAAGATTTATTCACTCTGTTCAACGTCAAAAATAAATGCACAGAAGTACATTTTTGACCCACTGGGCAGCATTTGGACTTGAGCACTCTGGAAAACCCGGAGGCCCGAGTAACGAAAGCCCCATTCCCACCTGTACCGGGTCGGCCCGGGCCGGGTAGCGTAGGTTGTTTACATATCTAGGTGGCCTGGTATTTTTCCGGGCCAACCAAGGCTCATTCTCAGCCCTCTTCTCGAGGGGGTCTGCTTCAGGCCGACCAGGGCCAACACACCCACTGCTGACGGCAAATTCACACCTTCCATTAGAGCAAGCCTCTGATTGGTGGGTAGAATCAGCCCACATGGGCTTAAGGCAAGGATGTGTGGAATCAACCGGGCCGGCTGGGGCTACCCGGCCCGGGCCGACCCGGTACAGATGGGAATGGCCCAGAAGGCCCTATTGAGGTCTGGAACGGTGCATTGATACTTCCCAAATGTTCAGATATGCTCTGTTTACTATTAAAGCTCTTGTTCAGTGTAAAACCGTGGAATGTTCTTTTTGAAATGCGATCTGTCACTTTGAATTTCACGTGCAGGCTGAACGTGAAAATGTTCAACTCCCGTCACCTGCATTAGCCACAGATGTGATGTGAAAAACTGTCAAGTCAGCCTTGGCTCGTGACCGCAGAAGGCTGTGTTGATTAAGCAGCTAGTGGAGAGCAGAACACATTTCTGGTAGTATAAGCTAACCGTTAGCATTATCAACGCCATAACGGAACACGTTCAGGCCTGCGTTGGAGAAAAAATATCGCTGTTGCGTTTTTTAGCCAAGAACGAAGAGCGAACAACGGTAGTAGAACAGTTGTGTTGCTTTTAGCCAATCAGAGTAGACATTTGCATATCACACATTTTAATGAAATCCTGTCTCACAGCACATTTGTTAAAATAAAAGCGTGAATGAGACCTTTAAGATGAAGCTGCAGGACGCCATCTTTTATTAAATATTTTTCTGTAACTCTGTTTTCTTAGGTACCTGAAACACGAAGGGGATGGATGGTTGGATTTTTATGGGTCAAATCCATGTCGGGGTAACTTGGTCATGAATAGTGAAACACATAAATGAGGGTTTTCTGGTTGAAGTTTAAGTATTTTGGGCGTACAACAACAGGAATAAGCTTTTGTACAACTAAAATGACCAAATGGGTACTCATTACTGGTATTCTCATTAGTTGTTTCTGTCTTCATTTCTATACATCTTTCCAACACTGCTGTTGACCTAATGAATCAGGTGTGTAAAGGTTACGAGTATCATCCAAAAGACGGTTGTGATAACGGGCCTGGGGCTGTTGGCTTTCTGGCTTCTCAAGGACCCTAATCTGTTTAATTCATGGACTCTTAAATCTTTCAATAATTAAAATCTTTAAGATCAGATTATAATAATTCATTACTCACTTTGCCCGAGACCCAAACTGCAGAACAATGACGTGATGCCACTGAAAGGAGCTCCATCTCTTCTGTGTTGTCCTCTTTGGAGTGAGTCTAGCTGAAGGGCTCGTGTACAGGATGCTGGTGTTGAGAGTGGGTCCGTTTTCAGGGAAAAGCTGGTTTTTATCTATTGTGATGGGTGAACGGGTGGTGTACAGAGGAGTGCTTTGCATCTAGTGTGTCGCACAAAGGCTTCACCGACACTCCGTACCAAACCGCCTGAGTGAAAATGACCTTTTTAGTTGGTTTTCACAACAATACTTTAACGTCCGCTCACCCCAACCTTTCAGCTCATTTCTGTTACCGGCTCTAGGGATTAGAGCTTGTGAGGAAACCCTTTTTTGGACTGAGGAGTTGGTTTTCAAAAACCCTCTCTACACGGGCCTATTCTCAACTTCTCCACTTTGTCGTCTGTCAGCTTTTCCTCAAAGACGCGAGCTGGGAGCAGGGAAAAAATCCCACAAACAAACAGCTGATGGGAGAAAAAAGGCTGCCTTGCATCTTTTCCCTTCTAGGTTACCTTTTGTCATCTCCATTGTAAAGGTTGTCTTGTTTGGAGCACCCTTGGGAGTGCTTACCCTTGGAGTGTTTACCGGTGCCACCATCTGTGATGAGGACGTCCCCGGCTAAAGACTTGCCCACGACAAAGAGGAACAACAAACCAGGAAAAAAAGACAATAAAAAGATGAAAGGATTGTGGATAAACAAGAGTAAAAGTCTTAGCTGTGATGCAAGAGGAAAGCTCCCCTAATCCAGGATTACTGTGTGTGTGTGTGTGTGTGTCCATTCGTCCGTGTGTTTGTGTGTGTGTGTGTGTGTGTCCATCCGTCCGTGTGTTTGTGTGTGTGTGTGTGTGTGTGTGTGTGTTCATGCCGTCTGCGCAGTCAGCCGCCTCGCTCACAAACATGTTGTTGTAGTTTTTCTGCTCTTGTGTACTAAATCCAGGTTGCGTTAGGAGGAATAACAATGGGATTAAACTGACTGTTTAGAGGTAAACATTAAACATTATTTACGCTTTTACAACCTTTGTTGTCCTGATGCTCAGATCGCAGCTCCTGGTTTCTTCGGCTGTCCTACAAACCTTTTTCTTTTGGGCTTAAATGATGGGAACTGAACATGTTTTCTGACCTGTACCGGTTTCTGTGTCCTGTAGGAGCCTCCGGTGGAGCCTACCCCTGCCACCCTGACCACTTGTATGGAGAGGAGCGCGATAAGGTCAGTCACACACTTTTTATTTAAAGGGGCAATTTGTGGGAATTTTACAGTGACATGAAAAATTGTATCGTCTCAGTTTTTATGTCATTGTAATGATTATTATGTGGGTTGACTACAGTCATTGTAAAACTGGAAGTGGAGATTGTGTGCGGTGCTTTTTTTAACGGTGTGGTTCACTGAAAAAACATTCTGATTCGGATAGCGTTTGTCTGAACATGAAAATAGTCTCCTACACCTGTCTCTTGCAGTAGCTTCTGATAGAAAACAGACGGTGAAACTCTAGGATTAGAAAATCCCGACAGATCTACGTCACGCTGTCACTAACATTCATGGACTCACCCATCTGGACTCACGACGGTAAAGCTGTTGTTGGTTTAGCGTCCAGGAAACAGCGGAGAACATCTCTGCTAGTAGAAGCTAACTGTTAGCATCAGCAGCTCCACCACACAGCAGAACTCCAGGCTTCTGTTATTTGTGGAGAGAAAACGGAGCAAACAGAGTCAGTGGTAGAGTCCTGTTGCTGTTAGCCAATCAGAGGAGAGATATCCAAATATCAGGAAGTAAGACTCCAAATCCTGTCGCCTGAAGCTCAACCAGCTCAGTGACCCGGTGGTAGAGTGTCCGCCCTGAATCTGGAAGATCAGGGTTCGATTCCTGGTCGGGTCATACCAATGACTTTGGAAAAAATGGGACCCAATGCCTCCCTGCTTGACACTCAGCATTAAGAGGTTGGATTGGGAGGTTCAACCACCAAATGGTTCCCGAGCGCGGCTGTGTCTGCAGCTCACCGCTCCCCCAGGGGATGGGTCAAATGCGGAGAGCAAAGTTTGCACACACTTCAGTGTGTGTGACAACTAATGGGGCTTTAACTTTAACTCTGATCCTGCTCACTTCTACTTCCAGAAGCAGGCGCGTTGGAGCTTTTGTTTCTCAAAGTACAGCTTAAAGGCATTCCTTCCCACTGGAGACCGCTGCAGATGTACTGATTAAACGAGTGATCCTTACCTGTAAGACCAAAGCCCTCCCCGGCTGTTTGTGTAAGATGTCAAAAGCAGAGCAAAGAAACTGCAAAGTTTGTAAAAAAACACGATCACACATCTTTGTAAAAGCAAACAGATTAAATGAAGAACAGTTGAGCGGGAGGGGCCGGATGCTGAAGTGTTGCTGAGAGCTCGAAGGGAGGCTGCAAAAGGGGAGGGAGGCAAGGCCAGAAATGGGGAGGGGGTACCGCTAATGATTTCAACCTCCAGCTGTGGAACTTGTGTGGAGTGAAAGTAAAAAGGAGGGAAGGAAGGGAGGAACGGCGGCCGAGGAGCCAAAACGAGCTTTGAAACCATGTTGATGGAAAGAAAACAGAGAGGGAGGGAGAGGTGTTTGTGTCGGTAGGAGCATGTCGGTAAATATTAATGAATCTCAAACAGCAAGTCACCGATTAGCTCAGTGTGTGCGTGAAGGAGAAAGCGTTGAAAAGGAGAAAACTGGGCTCAGTTGGTGTCTGCAAGCTGCTTTATTTTGGTTCTGAGCAGCGACTGAAACCAGCAGCTACTGGCTGGAGTCGCTGTGTCTGGCAGCAGATGCGTGCACGCCAACCGTAGACGCTGTGAAATGGAACGTGGGAAGGGTGTGTCAGGAAATCGGACCGGCCTGGTGTGTTCAGGGAACGGAGTCAAGAGGTGCAAAAATGTTGTCATCACGGGACAGATCTGCTCGGTGCTGGAAAATAATCACCGGTTTACGCCGAAATCACGATTATTCAGTTTCTTTACTGTTTATTTTTCTTCAGATAAAAAATTTCCAGGAAAATAAATAAAGAGCTAAAGTTTTACAACCTTCTAACTTCACATTTATGTAGTTCAGTCCAGAAAGCAAAGTTTATGTAGGAGAGTTTTGTGAGGATGTGAATCCTAACAGCAGCAGGTGGCCAAGTTCTGATGTTTCTGGGCTTAAACCCAAAGACGAGATCAGTTTGCCCGTGCTAGTTTGGTATTTGGGGAAAAAGATGCGTGTAGGTTACTGATGTTGTGATGCTTAAAGATGCTGTGCTACAAACTGGGTAGGGTGGTGTCACATGACCACCCCATCTGGTCTCTTAGAAGAGGTGAAAGATGGTGAGAAAATGGAAGATGGTTGAGATGTTGAAGCAGAGGGCGGGGCCAGAAACCGAATTCTAAATTTTACCAAGTGGTTGTTGAAGGATTTTTATGGGAACAAGCTCGCAGGGTTCCCCCCCAGCGCTTTATAAGCCTGGTGGCCCGCCAGGCTAAGCGTCATTGCCCCCCCCCCCACACACACACACACAAAAAACTAGAGCCCTCCATATGCTGAGACTGGTGAGAAACAGCAGCGGAACATGTGCAACCCCCCCACCCCCGCTCTCACGGGGGAGCGCTGCGTGACGGATCACGCGACCCCTCCCGACAGCCGAAGCCGCCAGGCTTAGGTCATTTTCTGGGGGCAACCCTGAGCTCCTCCATGACCAAGTCTGCCACCACCCCCTCTAAACGTCGCTGTACGGATAGTTATCGTTGTTCAGGTGACCTACTCGATATATCGTGATGTTGGTTTGAGGCTGTATCGTCCAGCCCTACTAGAACCCTTGTGGACCACATCTGTTCGTATACTTGCTAAAGATTACAACCATGTACGAACGAAGCTGAGTATCCCGCTAAACAAAGATTTTTTCACGGTTCGACCGGTCATTCACATGAAATTGAAGATAAACGGCACCAAAAACTCTGAGATTTGCTTGTAGACGTAAATAAACGGGCTTTAGGTTTTGCAACGTCACTGCCCATGATTAAAAAAAAAAAAGCTCTGACATCACACTTGAGACCTGGACTTAGTTCTTGTTGTACACACAGCGATTAAGGTTTGTTGTTCCTGGTCTGACACTCGTTTCTACAAGCTCAGTCATGTGTGAGACCACAGGCGAAGGACGATGTTAAAGGTGCATTATGTAGAAAAGAAGTATAAACGACATCCTGTGGTAACATTTGGTTACTACAACCACTTTAAACAAATCTGGAGCTTTTTGCCGGCTGTCGTCAAATTACAATTATCGGTGCTGTAGCGTTAGCTCGCAGGAGACACGGCGCCCTCACAACGACTGATGGTAAATGGTCGTTACATCCCTCCTTCCTTTGTTTTGGAAGGAGTAAAACGACAGTCCCCACAGCTGGATGTGAAACATGCTTCAGTAGAAACTTCCTTCTAAAACGACTGAAACGTTAGACTCTTATGGGATTTTCTCACTATATTATTCTTACATACTGCACCTTTAAAGACGGTTCCGAGGGAGGTTTTTGGGGAACTACTGCCGCCTACAGGCTTGGGAAACCTATTAAACTGGATGTGTTTTTTTTTTTGAGTCCGAGGTGGTGAAGACCCACGTTTATTCCTACAAAGGCCAAAATCAAAAATAAAATAAAAATGCGTTTAAGTATAAAGCTCTGCTTTGTTCCATTGGAACAAGCTGGTGTTTTTCTGTATTCGACTCGTTTAAAAACATGTTCAGTTTGTGCACAACTGTCAGCGAACATAGGAAACACTATAGCTCAGTGCATAAAGACACTCCTTTGTCTGAAGCCCCCCCACCCCACCCCCACCACCACTAACACAGACCGACAGGCCCATCAAACTTTCATACTAATGGCTGATAGTCTGCATGTGTGAAGACCAAGTGTACGCGTCCGTCCTTCTCGACTGCTCTTCTCCTCCGGACTTAAAGCCGGGGTCTCGGACAGGTCAGGAGGGACGAGGGGAAAGGGAGCGGGAGCCTGTGGGGGGGTTAGAGCTGGGTTCAGCTTATCTGATGGAGGGAGAAGGGGGGGGGGGGGGGGGGGATGGGTGGGGAGGGTGTGTGGTGGTGGAAGAGTCTGGCTTAGATATGAAAATGGGCACAGTACATGTCCCAAGGGGGTAGGGGCTGGTGAGGAGGTTGGGTCGGATGAGAGGAGGAGCCTGTTGTGCCGACGAACAGAGATGCTGTTATGGAAAGCCATGAGAACATGTATTTGAGTTTATTTACTGAAACATAAAACTTTTAATGAACTTAAAGGAAGCAGGAGAAAACAAAACCTGCAGCTTGTTATTTTAGCAGCTTTTGGCACGACTCTTGATTCTTTGTTCATAAAAGCTTGTTTGTAAAATGAATTTCCTCCACATCAAACCCTTATCTCCCTTATTACTTTGGCTCATCACGCCTATTCCTTGCGTCTCCTGCTCCCTCCTCCTCACGTATTTCTCTGCGGTCCCAACTAAAGGAAATCGTTGTTATCCAATAAAGTTGTCAAGCTCCCGTCACATTCAGCGGTACGAGCGAGCCATTAGCGTCTCCCCCGTTTGGCTGCGTAGGAGACACGGGTTTTTATCCGCTGTAGAAACGGTGGCAGCAGCTGGTGTGTGAATCCGCGCATGGCAGCAGGCGTTCCCATCGTGGCGTGCGTTTCAGTGGTCTGCCTTCCAGCTGTTTCCTGTGAGCTATCGCTAACCGCAGCTCTCAAGGCTGGTGTGTGTGTGTGTGTGTGTGTGTGTGTGTGTGTGTGTGTGTGTGCTTTTCTGAGCACAGCAAAGCGTCTCGTAACAGGGAATGAGTAATAACTGACACATGGGCATGTCTGTGTGTGTTCTTGCCTCACCGAGTGCCGACTATGAGACTCTCTGGTCTGACTGTAAGTGAAGTGAGTCACAGATGAGTCGACGGGCCTGAAACGTTACACGATAGCTCCGAGTAGCTTGGATAACTACGGAGGAGGTTCTCGTAGGCAAAGCGATCGCGTGTTTTTTATCTCGACTCTACATGAACATAGTTTTCAGTCCGTCCACTTGGGGGCGTGTACTTTCGGCTTTCACGTGGACTTGTGAGCGCTTGTGCTCTGTTTCCTCCCTCCAAGAGGAAGTGACTTTGACCCCTCCGGGCCTCTGAGTGCTGGTGGTGAAGTAAGCTCCCTCTCATAGACACAAACACTCATGTAGTCGCAGAGACGCACGGTCTGGATCGTACAGGTAACTCTGTGATTCACAGAGGAGCGACGGGGGGTGGGGGGGGGGATGGATTTATCGGATACGAGTGGTAAACAGTTTCCTCCCCTCCCTCTGCAGAGCGAGGAAAGTCCCAGTCCAAAGCGCCAGAGGCTGTCCAGTCAGTCTGTCTTAGAGCAGCTGACCTCAACGGCACCCCCGCCTTCCACCCCCTCTCCCCCCATCCGCCCCTGGGAGTCGGGACCTCCGAGTCGGCGGCAGCCTCACCCCCACCCGCTCTACCAGCAGGAGCGGTGCCTGACTCCTGCACGGCTCAGACGCAGGTAAGCAGCTGGTTTTTTTTGGTGATTCATCTCAGATTTCTGAATATAAACGATTATCTCGTTTATTATTTTTTTTAGTCCACCAGCGAGGCGTCAGCGCGGCCGCCTCTCCAGACCTAGCCGCCAACTCGCTCCTCAACACCACCCCTCTGCTCAAGGACTCACACCTCACCCGTCTCCACCAGAGCTCCAGGATGAAAACTACCACCACAACCCACTTCCCTCCGCCCTCCAGCCCTACCCGACACACATGCCGAGCACGTACAGTCAGCCTCCCACGGCCGGAGTGGGTCCGGAAGAGCCCCGGGCCTTCCACCCCCCAGCTTTGTCGCCTCAGCTACTGCACCCAGCCGCTCACCCCCATCCCCACCATCACCACCAGCAGCAGCAGCAGCAGCAGCAAGGAGCCATGGTGCTGGACTTGCATGAGCGGGTCAGTTGGCCGGTAAACCGTTGGAGACGGTTAGCGAGTGTTGATATTAACTGCTGTTTGTTCTCCTCAGCTGCAGCACAGCAGCGTCCCCGTCTCCTACACCGTCAGCCCCGTCCCTCCTCACGGCCTCGCCGCACCTCTGTGTAGCAGCCAGCCCCTCCCCCCGTCCTGCTCGTCGCAGCAGCAGGTCCCCGCCTGCAGCGTGGTCTTCAGCACCGGACAGCACTACCACCCGGTGAGAGGAACACGACTCGGCTAAAGAACGGGTCATGAAGGAAGTGGGTTAAATGAGGCGAAAGCAGCCTCCTCCACTGTGAGGAAGTTTCTTAACCGGGTCGTTGCTGCCACCTGGTGGCAGAAGTTTGTTTTGTGCAGTTTAAGCCAGAAGGTCAACACTAATTCATCCCCTCTGTCTCCAGATGTTACAGGCGTGTTCCATGCACCATTTGCCCGTTCCTTACGCTTTTCCTTCCCTGCTGTCCAGCGATCCTCCCTTCCTGATCTCTTCTTCACATCTGTCCCACCACCCGCCCCACCTCCCGACACACGCTCAGTTCCTGCCTTTCCAGACGCCGCAGGCACGATCGGTATGTGAGCAGTTTACTTTACTCCCCGTTTACCAGTTACTGCCACTAAGGCAAGCTGTTTTAATCTATAATGTGCACTCTGACATGTTACTATTGTTTGTTTACTCACTTTTTATCTTGATTATGTTTGTTTTTGTTCAACATGTGGTCCTCAGGATGCTGTTTGTCATGTTAAATCATCTGAGTGGAGTTTTCTCACCTGAAGCTCCTGTTTGATTTCAGCCTTTACAGAGAATTGAAAACGAGGTGGACATGGTGGGGGAGCAGCTTCCTGTTGGTGGGAGTTTTAGCTACGCCCACCATCACCACCACCACCATCATCATCACCAGCCTCCCTCCACGCTGCCGCCCTCCACGCCGCTCCACTTCCTCTCCCACCATGACCCGCTCTCACAGGAGCTCTTCACAGTGGTGAGTGTCTTTGTTATTAAAGAGCAAGTCACCCCCAAATCAACTTTTTTTTCTGATAAACTATAAAAATGTGTGTCTAATCGTGCTGCAGCCACGTGTCATCAATAGTTTTGCACTTTAGTGCATTTTAGTTCAAATTAAAATATTCTGCCTAAAACTGTCAGTGTTGTGCCGTTGTCAGGTAAAAACTCTGCACTGCATTTGAATTTAAATCTGCCATCGCTATTGGCTAAGAGGTACCCTAGAACGTTAGCTGGTACCATATGATGTCACAGTGTCGTGAGTCTGTGTGTGTGTGTATTTGTTAGCGGCTCCGCCCTCTCGGTCTGTTAGGCAACAGCATTTGTTGCATTTTTCAAACAGGAAGTGGGAGTGGAGTAAGAATCTGGTAGGGGGTGACTTACTCTTTAAATCTTGCTTTTGTGATCAGATTTGATTAATTGTGGAATTATTTTTCTCCCCGATGTCTTGCAGCCATACCCCCACTTTATGCCTCGCCGATTCCAGAACCGACGCTTCCGCTCGCCGCAGACCGTGCCTCCTTCCCCATATCATCCCAGCTTCCTGCCTTACTTCCTGTAAGTTGTCTTGGTTTCGTGTGGACTCGCACACGGACGGATGAAAATGCAGCAACGTGAAAACGTACCTGTTTTTCTTTAACCTGCAGATCTATGCTTCCCGTTCCCCCGAATGTGGCTCCCGCCATCAGCCTCGAGCTGGATGTGGACGATGGAGAGGTGGAGAACTACGAGGTAAGCGAGCACGCTGCAGCACGCCGCCTCCAGCCGGGAGGCACCAGATCTCAGAGAGCTTCTTTCTGTGTGAAACCTTCAGGCCCTGCTGAACCTGGCTGAGCGTCTGGGAGAAGCCAAACCTCGCGGTTTAACCAAGGCGGACATTGAGCAGCTTCCGTCGTACCGATTCAACCCCAACAACCATCAGTCTGAGCAAACGCTGTGAGTGGCTTCCTCTTGGGACTTGTGTGATTCAGAGTTCCCGTGGAAAGAGTTTTTAACACCTCCGTCTTCTGGTGCTGCAGATGTGTCGTGTGCATGTGTGATTTTGAGTCCCGCCAGCTCCTCAGAGTTCTGCCCTGTAATCACGAGTTCCACGCCAAGTGTGTAGACAAGTGGCTGAAGGTGAGGGAACCCGCCTGATGTGTTTACTTTTACTTAACCGTGAAAATTCAGTTTTATTGTGAAGCTTTGTGGTTTTTATCCGTGCACGTGAAGTTTTCCTGCATCTAACCTTTCCGTTCTGGCTCCAGGCCAACCGGACCTGCCCTATCTGTCGAGCCGACGCCTCCGAGGTCCAGCGGGACTCTGAGTGACTCTGAGTGACTCGATCCCTCCACTCTATTCTTGGATGCGCCACTCAATTAGTGAACTCACACGTTCTGCCGGACAACTGGGACTACTCCTCATTGATCGTCCTACAGCAGGAATTCTCACTAGGAAGGAAACATTTCTGCTCACATTTTCCTGATAAATAGCCTTTTCATGTCCTCGTGTGACCGGACGGTGGAAAATACGGTTGTTCCGAAAGACCTTGAATGGAGACTTGGTTTTCCAAAGATTTTATTTTTAATTTAATCAAGTTTTCAAATGTTGTTGAGCAGAAACAGTCTGGCCTCAAAGCTATCCCCGATCCAGATCCTGGTCCGCGGCGTAGCCCTGATCCGGTTCAGGGGCGTGGTCTTAGCCCCGATCCTGATCCTGGTCCGGGGTAGTGCCAGCCCTGATCCTGATCCGGGTCTGGGTCTGGGGCGTGGTCTTGGCCCCGACCCTGATCCTGGTCCGGGTTAATGCTAGCCCTGATCCGGGTCTGGGTCTGGGGCGTGGTCTTAGCCCCGACTCTGATCCTGGTCCGGGTTAATGCTAGCCCTGATCCTGATCCGGGTCTGGGGCGTGGTCTTAGCCGCGACCCTGATCCTGGTCTGGGGTAGTGCTAGCCCTGATCCGGGTCTGGGTCTGGGGCGTGGTCTTAGCCCCGACCCTGATCCTGGTCCGGGGTAGTGCTAGCCCTGATCCTGATCCGGGTCTGGGGCGTGGTCTTAGCCCCGACCCTGATCCTGGTCCGGGGTAGTGCTAGCCCTGATCCTGATCCGGGTCTGGGGCGTGGTCTTAGCCCCGACCCTGATCCTGGTCCGGGGTAGTGCTATCCCCGATCCAGATCCGGGTCCGCGGCGTAGCCCTGATCTGGGTCTGGGGCGTGGTCTTAGCCCCGACCCTGATCCTGGTCCGGGGTAGTGCTAGCCCTGATCCTGATCCGGGTCTGGGGCGTGGTCTTAGCCCCGACCCTGATCCTGGTCCGGGGTAGTGCTATCCCCGATCCAGATCCGGGTCCGCGGCGTAGCCCTGATCTGGGTCTGGGGCGTGGTCTTGGCCCCGACCTTGATCCTGGTCTGGGGTAGTGCTAGCCCTGATCCTGATCCGGGTCTGGGGCGTGGTCTTAGCCCCGACCCTGATCCTGGTCCGGGGTAGTGCTATCCCCGATCCAGATCCGGGTCCGCGGCGTAGCCCTGATCTGGGTCTGGGGCGTGGTCTTAGCCCCGACCCTGATCCTGGTCCGGGGTAGTGCTAGCCCTGATCCTGATCCGGGTCTGGGGCGTGGTCTTAGCCCCGACCCTGATCCTGGTCCGGGGTAGTGCTATCCCCGATCCAGATCCGGGTCCGCGGCGTAGCCCTGATCTGGGTCTGGGGCGTGGTCTTAGCCCCGACCCTGATCCTGGTCCGGGGTAGTGCTAGCCCTGATCCTGATCCGGGTCTGGGGCGTGGTCTTAGCCCCGACCCTGATCCTGGTCCGGGGTAGTGCTAGCCCTGATCCTGATCCGGGTCTGGGGCGTGGTCTTAGCCCCGACCCTGATCCTGGTCCGGGTTAATGCTAGCCCTGATCCTTATCATGATTTGGATCGTAGTCCTAGCCAGGACCCGGATCCATGCGCATCTTTTTGGTTTGAGCCATCACTCCCGTATGGAGGTCAAAGGTTATTTGATATATTTTAGCAGAGTATTCGATTTAGCGCTGAGAGCGACTCCGTTAGTTTTGATTCTTCCCACAAATCATGAACACGACTCGTTCCAGACAAGTCGGTAAAAACCAGGAGGACGGCCGTGTTTGTGTCTCGTTTGCCTCCTGTTAGCGTCGACGACTCGAGCTAGCTCTCTAGCATTTTTCACCGGCGAATTTGGCACATCTGCACTTTTAAGTGAAAGACTTTTAAACCCAGATGCTTTTTGGTTCATTCAAAACAAACGACCCATTCAGCGCGTCTCCCAGCCTCGGTGGTCCGATCGTTCCCTGATCCTTTAGCGGCGTCACGTTAACAGAAACACCTCGGCTGAATGAGCGAGTTGTTTCCCGTAGCAGGAAATGGCCATCAGACCAGATTACTGATGACTCCCTGGGACAAACGCCTGCTTCCTCCACGTCCACCGCTCTGCTCATTAAAGAATTACGATGTTTTTCACTGTTCAAACTCCTGAATGGGAATCGACAGAACTTGAGTGATTTCATCCGTTTTGTGTGTTATTATTTGGTACACTAGCTATTACCTCATTCCTGCTATGTATGTCTTCACAGAACACAGCCTGTGTAACTAGTGCTTTATCCTGTTGAGTTTGTTTTTAAACACTGACTGCTGGGTTAACGTCGTCCCTTCGAGCTCTATGAGACTATCATTAAACCAGTGTCGTCGTAGGTTCATCATGTATATCTGTAACCAAAATCAGTCGAAGGCTTGTTACGATGGAAATTTCTAACAAACATTTGTACATTTTGTATGAGAGTTACTTATGGTAATACTTTATTAAGTAGTGCAATGATTTTTTTAATTCCTTACCCCATCTTTTGGATTTCAAAAGCTGGTTCGATAATAAAGCTATAACTTTCTCTTCTTACTGTTGTGTTTTGTGTTCCCAGCTCAGTTTGAGCCTCAATAGTCTTTCAGGTGTAGTTTGCCTCCAGTCCTTCAGGTGGCAGCGCAGGTCTTTGATAGTTTTAAGAAAAATGTGGAATCTTTTATATAAATACAGCCTAATATGCTTAGACATTTGTGAAATGCTGAATGTTTGTATACCATTAACAGCCAAAGAAATAAGCGTAGGGATGATCGTGTTCCTCCAGATGGCAAAACGTTAATAAAAACCAGCATCAGAGTTTATTTTAATCCCTCAGCTACCAGGATGCTGATCTGAGGTAAAACAAAATCACTATTAATCATTTTTGCTGCTTGAAAGGGTTTAAAATGTTTAAATCCAGATCAATTTGTTTTCTTCCAGCTTGAAGCTTTCAGAATTTAAATGGAGGCAAAAACAACAGAAGCACAAAAACATTTTTTATGATGAAATTAAACAAAAAACCAACCTCAAGCAGAGCAAAAGTGGGTTTCTGTGTAATAATGTACACGATTGGTTATAGCGACATCTAGTGGACAGATTAAGACGCAACACCTTAAAAAAGAGCTGCAGTAGAAATTTTCATGGTTTTTTAATCAGGACGTCATTTACCTGTTTTAATAGAGCAAACGCGTTGAAGCAATTTCAGGCATCAGTTTTGTTTCAACCTGGTTAGCAGTGCGTTAAAAGGATTTACTGATGAAATAAACGTATTTGGGTGTATTAAAATAACAATAGACTTTTTAAACTTTAAACTAGAGCTTTAACAATGATCCCAGTGGCTGTTAGTTTACTGGTTTCAGATCTGACACCACTCTGCAGCCCTCTGCTGGCTAAAAACGGCACTAGATAGTTTTGTGGAGCGGGTCGGTGTCCTAGGGGGCACTCTATCTGCTTTACGCTGTTGGCTGTAATGCTAGCTGTTAGCAGATAGTCGATTAAAAGCACAAGAAGAAGAAAATGAAGTTTATCTTTCTGTTGTTCATCATGGCAGAGCCTGGCAGGAAGAGAGTAATGTTTTTGGAGGTGAAGCAAAGAGCTTAAACTGGAGTGACCATCTGCGCGGCCTACGCTAGCTTGAGGGAGCTAAAGGAGGCTACAAAGTCAGGAACCTTGCCTTGATGTCTTGGCCCCACCCCAGTTGTCTAGGAGCCGCCAAGACGTGTTCCAATGTTCATGTTAGACCGAGGCGTGTGTTCTTCTCCGTTTTTTAGCCGTTTAGCTAGCTGAGCGAGGACACACAGGAGGTGTCTTGTAGCCTAGCCTTGGTAAAAAATTACCCAGAATACACCGCGGTATTTTCAAAGGGACGGCGGATCAGAAGCCGGCAGCTACTTCGGGGTCAATTTTCAAATTTAAAAGTAAGTCAGCTAATTTATAATTTTTTTTAGATCCAAAGAAGTTACCTATTTGTTGGTTAGCTGCTTAGTAGTTGCAGCTTCGGTAGCTAGCGGGTAGTACCACTTATATTTTTTATTTAAAGGTATAGCAATTGATGTTTTTCTTCCGGGTGGATCACGTCAACCATTGGTCCGCTAAAATGTCAATTTCTGGTGAAGCCAATCCTGGGCTAGTTTTCATTTCCTGCGCATGCGTACTCTGTGCACCCCTCGCACTCTCATGGAAATCAGCAAGAGGCTAACATGGTCCAGTCCGCTCCCCACAGATGCCGCTGTTGTCGGTTTTCTGCTCGAGAGGTAAGCTAACATTCTACGTGCTATTTTTAGAGCCTTTTATTACGCATTACAGCCGGCAGCTACTTGTAAACAGGCGCTGGGAGAGTGTTGTGCAACGTGGAGAGGGCCGTTCTTTCCTGAAATTCAGAAACATCGATTGCTATAACTTTAACAAACATATACACAATTTAAAAAGTAAAAGCCTCGTTATATATTTATATTGAAACTAATACGTTTAAAATATAACATTATTTCTCGTGTCACGTGGCTTTATGTGACTGCCGTGGTCACGTTTTCTTTGACCAAGGAAGGACAGTGTCTTTGTAAGCAAGCCAACTGGCCTCGCAAGACATCGCCTTGCAAGGACAGGTGCCTTGACATTGAGAAACACCCATGGACTGATTGTGACCTGGCTTTGTTGCTACTGGACTTGTAATATTTATTTTTGTCCAACAGAGTGCACATTTTTACTTTGTGGTTTCTTTTATTATTAGTTAACTCGTGTTAGTGTTATCATGTTGTAGCACAAGCTACAGCAGCCTGCTGCAGGTAAAAGAGTTATTTAATTTTTCATAAACATGAATACGTAGACGTGAAATTGGGTGCTGGAGAGCACAACAGCATTGCCGCCATATTGGATGGGTCCCTCACTATAAGCACTACTGGACTTAAAGCAGGGTGAGCAACTACGCCCACACGTTATTTTGTGCAGCCTACGATTGCAACAACCAAAAGCAGATCACGTGAGCTTACCGTTTACTTTTCTAGCTTACCTATTGGAATTTAAAATTTTAATTTATTTTCTTTAAATTTTAACTACAATGCCTTATGTATCTGATTTAGTGAAAAAGCTTGATGAAATGTGTTTTTTACTTGCGTAAACAACTTCATCGGTAGAAATAAATGAACTGGGCGTGAATAGAGACTCATCCAAGATGGCAAACCGGCTGCTATGCCAGCTCCAATGAGCAACACCAGTCTGTTGAGTCTATTTCATGTCTGTGCCACTTTCAGCCAGTAGGGCGGAGGAACTGGAAACTGCCTGTTGTTGCTATAAGGCATCAATGTTAAATGTTTTTACTGTTTCATAAATCAGAGGATTTTCTATTAGCTTCATTTGTCTCTGACATTAAACAACCTCTCAAATGTGAACAATGGAAAACTTAATTTAATGACGTAAAATAATGAACCAGCTCTGTGTGGTCAGAAATATTCAAGAACACAAACGGGACTTTTGACAGTAGTTTTATTTGATACCAGATGTTTTGGAAACACAAAGAGGTTTCCAGATGTGAAACATTCTTAGATGAAAACCGATATTACAGGGACGCCGTCGTTTCCCCAGAACTTTTCCTGACAGGAACAGCCACTGCAGAAATTTTACATTTTCAAACACATTCACTCTTTTATTTTATTTTATTTTTTGCATCTTTTTTTAATTCTGAAAGAATTTAGTGATACAAAATTTCATATTTCATCACTTCTTGCCATAAATCAGATCAAACACTTTACTATTATTATTATATTCTAAATAATTACTTCTGGATTTTGCAAACCTATATACAGAAAGGCCTTTTTTATTATAGAGTCTAATAATAATAATTATTATTATTGGGTTTTGTTCACTTGTTAAGTTCTACTGTGTCCAACTCCTCCGTGCGAGACACAACCTTTCCATCCACAAGCTCCTCAATCACCACCTTTGTCCTCTGGGTGATGACCGGTTTACCTGTGAAGAGAATTTAAACTGAATTCAATCTCTGGCTTCAAAAGGAAATCAAATATATAAAAAACAACAAAAATCGGGGATGATTTTTGGAAACTAGCAAAAATCGGACACAAATTTTATCTGGTCTTATTTTTTAGATGTTGTTACACCCCAGAAAAGTCACGGATTAACCGAACATGCGTGTTTGGTCTAAACCAGAGTATCAGGAGAAAAGGGATTTAAACCTGCAACCTTCTAGCAGCAGATAATTACAGAGATAATCTGAATCCACATCAGATAATTTTGGGAAATTATTCAAGAGTTTGTGTTTTTTCCACCAAAGGTCTCTTGTGGTGTTCCCGGTGCTCCACAGGGCTGTATTCTCGGGATTCTCTGATACTAATTTGAACAGAACGATGAAGAATTTTTTTGTTACATCTTTTTACATTTTTTCAGATTTGTCCAGAACTTCCTCTTTATTATTTTAATAAATATATTCATCTTATTGTCCTATTTTCTTGCTCTGTAAGGAGTGTGACTCATAAATAATCCTGATTAAAACCCGTCGAAGTTGATGGTTTTCTATCCTAATCCCCAAATGAAACAGCTGCGGTGCAAAACTTACGTGTCTCTTCTTTCACCTGCTTCACCTCTTTCACCTCTACTTTGCTGGTTTTCCTAGAGAGAAAAAAGAAGAAAAACATGTTTAAATATTAATGCACGTTTGTTATTTTAGGATAGACTTGTTCTCTTACAGCTCGTCGCCCCCCAGCAGCCTCCTGTACTCGGCGATCTCCATCTCCAGCCTGGTTTTGACGTCCAGCAGCATCTGGTACTCCTCAGACTGCCGCATCATGTCTGCCTTCACCATCGAGAGCTCGTTCTCCAGCCTGTCCACCATGGCCTGCAGCTGTTGGAGCTGCCGAGCGTAACGGGCCTCGGTGTCAGCCAGCGTGCCCTCCATGGCGGCTTTCTGCACAGAAAAACAAACGTGGAGCTCGCTCGTTTCTTCGGTCTCAGGCGGTTTGTGTGTCGTGTTCCACGTCTCTGGTCTGAATGTGAATTACCAGGCTGAGTTCAGACTGCAGCTCAACCTCCAGGGCCTGAAGCTTCCTCTTCAGATCGTTAATCTCACTCCGAGATGTCTGCAGAGTCTCTGTGCTGCTGGCCATCTGCTTGTTCAGGTCCTCAAACTGGAAAATTTTAAATCAGAGGTTAGCTAGGAAGCATCCCGGGTCCAGACGACGATAACCTCTGGCTTTTCTCACCTTGCCCTTGTACCAGGCCTCCATGTCACGCCGGTTCTTCTCAGAGATGGCCTCATACTGAGCTCTGATGTCCCTCATGACGCTGCTCAGGTCTTCTTGAGGCTTGGCGTCCACCTCCACGTTCACGGAGCTGCTGGAGATGTTGGCCCGCAGAGCTGCCATCTCCTAAAAACAGGACGAAAAACGGCAAAACTCAGGGGTGTGTGTGTGTGTGTGTGTGAGTGAGTGTGTGTGTGTGTGTTCACGATTGACATTGAAACACACTTTAGTCAGCCTGAATCTTCAGACGTGCTCTAATCAGGCGCTCTGGTCTGAGTCATCGTTTCTTGGCAGCACCTTTGTTGATGCGAACGTCGAGCTTGGCACGGCGAACGTCCAGACGGGTTTAGTTTGTAGATAAAATACTTACGAGAAATTGTTTTACACAGATTGTTTTTTTCTTTTCCATCAACTGAGATGTCTTTGTTCTTGTCTCACCTCCTCGTGGTTCTTCCTGAGGAAGACCAGCTCCTCCTTCAGACCCTCCACCTGCATCTCCAGGTCAGACCGGGTCATGGTCAGCTCATCCAAGAACCTACGCAGGTTAAAGATGTCTCCCTCCACCGACATCCGACACGCCATCTCGCTCTCGAACCTGCCATGAGAACGTTTGTTTTACTCGACGGAACCAGCTCTGCGAGTTCGACGGCTCTGTCGTCCGTTACAGCTCCGTGTCCACGATCGCCTGATATTGTGACGTTACCGTGACAACAGTGAAGCAAAAGGGGGTCACTCACTTCACCCGGAAGTCTTCTGCTGCCAGTTTGGCATTGTCGATGGAGAGCATATGCTTGGCGTTTTCCTGTGTTGCCTCAGAAATCTAAAAGAAACCGACAGTAAAAACATCTGTCAGCAGCTGCTTCTGGCAGAAGAACATCGGGAGCTTTAATCGTTTCCCTTTTTTATTTCAACAAAAATACATAAACTTTAGAAATGAACTCATTTGTTCCATATCTGATGTGATTTGATGGTACCTGCAGCTCTATTCAAATAAGATTAAAGGCTTTTGATTTTGAGCTTTATTTAAATAAACATGTCGGTTCTTTTTAAGTCTGATACAGAGTTATGACATTATGGGGTTTAACTCTCAGGAGACATTAAAATTCAGCTGAAATAATAAATAAGTTTAGGTATAATTTAGTTGCGGTGACCTTTCTGCGCAGGTCTGCGATGATCGGCTCGTACTTGCTGTAGTCCCTCACAGCCGGGGTCTTCTTCTCGTACCACTCCCGGATCTGGCGCTCCAGCTGCGCGTTGGCGGACTCCAGAGTGCGCACCTTCTCCAGGTAGGCGGCCAGGCGGTCGTTCAGGTTCTGCATGGTCGCCTTGTCGTTGCCGGGCACCGAGGAGCTGCTGTCTCCGCCGCCGAGCGCCTGTGTGAGGTCGAAGCCGGAGCCGAGGCCGCTGGAGGCGTAAGACACCCGGACGTTTCGGCCTCCGGCCCCGCCGTAGACGCTGCCGCCCCGCGGGGTGGCGCGGGTCGCCGGCATGGAGTACAACGAAAAGGCGGACATCCTGGAGTTCATGGTGGTTCGCTTCTGGTGAGCCGGAGGAGTTCAGCCTGCAGCGGTGTGAGTGACAGAGGTGGTGCCGCGGGTGCACGGAGGACGCGTTTTATAGCCTCGTGCCCAGGTGAGGTGGGCGGACAGATGCTGCGCCACCGGTCCAGGTGAGACCAGGCGTGGCGCGGAATCCGGCGTCCCTCCCCGAGAAGTTACGGCTGTCAGTCGTTGTTGCATCTGAAACTTCGACTGAAACGTTTATTATTCCAGGCGGAAGTGGAGGCTTCAGTTGGAACAGAAAAGTTTCCAACAATTTGGAGAACGAGAACGTTGTGCTCATTGCAGTTCAACAAACCATGACACAACCGCTGCCATGTTTGACACTGCATGCACTGATTCTGTGTGGGCCAGATAGAAACCAATTCTTTTTTCTTTCAAAACTAACTGAAGATTTTAGTTTTTATTTATTAATTATTATGCTTGAAGTGAAACCTGCCACCTATAAGCCGGTATTTGTTTTACCGTAGTGAAAGTAACACCAGGTGGTTTAAGCTGGAGCTTCAACGTTCATCTCAGTGACTGTTGAGTTAAAAACTTGATGAACACATTGACACCGCCCTGCTGGCCAAAACCTGCAACATATAGTGATGTGGGAGCGGGTAGGTGTTCTAGTGGGTGCTCCTTACCTGCTTCACAGCTGTTAGCTGTAATGCTAGTGGTTAGCATTTTCAAATTTGCCAGTCTATAATTTAAAGCACAAGACAGAAAAGACGTTTGCTTTTTCTGTTGGCATCATGGCAGTGTTGACGGTTAGGGTAAAAGTAAGAGTGTAATGTATTTGGAGAAGCAAAGCCAACTCGCATTTTTTAAAAGTAAACTGAAGCAAACTTTGAAAACTGACCAGGTCTGCACTCATTTATAGAATTTTTATTTTTTACATTGTTGTTGATGTATATGTTTTAGGTTGAATTAACTTTGTTTTAATGCAATAATTTATTTTTGCAGAACCTAGGGACGGACATTGTAAATTAGCTTTGGCTATGACAGTGTGTGTTGGAGGTCTAATGTACACGCTTGTCCAAATCAAGTAAACGAAAGGAAAGGAAAGAAGGTGAAGCAAAGAGCTAAAACCAGAGTGAACATTGGCACAGCCTATATTAGCTTGAGATAGCTAAAGGAGACTACAAAATCACGGACTGATGGTGACCTGGCTTTGTTGCTGCTGGACTTGTAATCATATTTTTTTCCAACAGTGTGGATCTTTTTACTTCGGGGTTTATTTTAGTATTAGTTGGCTCGTGTTTGTGTTAGCTCTTTAAGAAGACCAGAGATCCCAGAATAGAAAGCCTCCTTTGTGATACAAGTCTGACCAAAACTACAAAGAAGGCAGCGGCTCATGAGCAGCGCTCATTTATGACGTCTTTCTCATCCCCTTTGGAGGATTTCGACTTGGGACTTTCTTTGAGACACGAGGTACTTAATTCGTTTATTTCGATAAAGGATATATTTTCTTCTTCGTCTTCTTTGACGGTACACGGCAGACTGCCCTGTTGACTAATTTTCGTAGTGATGAATGCGTCACGTTGTTCGATGCTCTGATTGGTCCTAGCGATGTCCAATGTGGTGCAGAGACAGTTTGAAAGACAACTGTAGATTGTGTCCCACGACCGAGCGCTGTCGTTGTCGGACCATAGGACGGCTGTCAGGCTAGGTCTGTTGTCAGTAGTGTGGTGAGTTCACAGACCAGGATAAATATTTGAATTTCCATTTCTTCTTGGCAAACAGGGATGTGTATTGTTGAAATTCTGGCGATACGATACATATCACGATACAGGGGAGACGATACGATATATCACGATATATTGCGATACATTCAGTCAGACGTTACAAGCAATTTTTTTTTACCAAATTTATTGTAGGAATCTTCAATAAACAGTCCAAACTGTTACGTAACATGTTTAACATGAGGTATCTGAACCATGATGAAGGGATTTACATTTCAATGGTGGAAACAAAACCCGCTGCACACAGCTGCCAACTAGCGGGTGGCGATTGAATTGCACAAAATGAAAAGAAAATACACAAATGTTTGCGTGTAAATTCTTTCAAGAATTAGATACACAGCTTTTGAATATTGATGTAATAATCTCAGGAAAAAATCACGATATATTGCCATATCGATATTTCTGATACACGGCTTTTGAATATCGATATAATATTGCTGGAAAAATATCACGATATATTGCCATATTGATATTTTCTTACACCCCTATTTGTAAATTTCCACAGAATTTCCAACAGAAATTGGTTCATTTCTAAATAGAAATAATTGTCCTGATTTATTCCATATTTATTTTTTTTACTGCTCTGACATGTGGAAACACAAAGTATACACGAGGTGATGTCAGATGTAGTGACAGGTTCCTGTATGACCTCATCCACTACTGCCCAGTGTTGATATTGGTCAAGCACTCCTGGGGAGGTTAACAATGGAGCTGAATTTCCTCCATTTGTTCCCAGTCTGACTGGAGTTCAGACTCTTTAGAGGCTTTTCATAAATCCTCCTGAAGCCTGGAAAACATCAACACGTCTTCATGTGAAATCTGTGGAAAGCCTTTGTCAGCAAAGACGATGTGAAGATTAAGCTCCATCCTGTAAGTGTTTGTGTGTTTTGGTTTTCTGTTTTTATTTTGTTTCTTTGCTAGAAATTTCAGAAGCAAGATAACTGAATTTTTCTTAATTCAGGGAGAAAACTGCAGAGTAAAAAGCTCTGAAACTGCTCTGTTAAGGCCTGGCCTGGTAGGCCCGGCTCTCCCACCTCTCCTCTCTTTTCCCCCACAGTCTCTCTGAACTTGGTTACTGTTTTTATACAAAATTTTTATTTTCTATCTAGCGAGAGTTTGAGAGTAACATAATTTCATTTCTCTGTATGTCCTGTACATGTGGCAGAAGTGACAATTAAACTGACTTTGACTTTGACTTTATAAATCAACCCCCTGATCCTCCTGAGGGTCGTTGTTGTCCTCGCCCACATGCTAGATGCTTTGATTACGTGGTTTCTTTTTATTTGACATAAGCTTTGATTTAAAAGTATTTTGCATTAATGAAGCCGCCACCAATCAGCCATATAATTACCAGATCACAAGCTTTCAGTCCTACACCTTGCCATTTAAAGCAATGGGATTTTGTCCTGATGTGAACAACCTCAGTTTATTTTGAAGGTGGGACACATCATGGCTTATCATTTCTTACTTGAGGTTTTCATTTTAGTCAGAAATGTAAAATCCATGATGCAAGCACACGAACTAGGGCCCTATTTTCATGTCAAAAGTAAACTAGCCTGGCAAGCCATCTTACAGTATTATATAGTCTGACCACAACCTATAGACAGAGCTCAGTCATGGGGTGGAATCTACGGTTGTCTTTCAAACTGTCTCCGCATGCTATTGGACAACGAACAACATGATGTCACTGCTACGAATGGAGCAGTTTGCCATACACTGATGAAGAAGTCACAAATACATCCTTTTTCTAAAAAAGGACCTCAGTGCCTCGAGCTGCTCTTGACTCAAAGAAAAGCAAAAGTCTAAATAGTCCAAAATTAATGCCAAAGCCGTTTCAAACGAGCCACCGTCATCTTTGTTTTTCCACTCTGTGGCATAAACTTGCCCACCACACAGATAGAGCGCTGTGATTGGCCCTCCATATTAATTATTTTAACTCTGTGATTGACCCACCACACCTATAGAGTGCTGTGATTGGCCCACCACACCAATAGAGCGTGATTGGCCCTCCGTATTGATTATTTTTGCGCTGTGATTGGCCCACCACACCTATAGAGTGCTGTGATTGGCCCACCACACCAATAGAGCGTGATTGGCCCTCAGTATTGATTATTTTTGCGCTGTGATTGGCCCACCACACCGATAGAGCGCGGTGATAGGCCCACCACACTGATAGAGCGCTGTGATTGGCCCACCACACCAATAGAGTGCTGTGATTGGCCCACCACACAGATAGAGTGCTGTGATTGGCCCACCACACTGATAGAGTGCTGTGATTGGCCCTCCATATTGATTATTTTAACACTGTGGCCCACCACACCGATAGAGCGCGGTGATAGGCCCACCACACTGATAGAGCGCTGGGATTGGCCCACCACACCGATAGAGCGCTGTGATTGGCCCACCACACAGATAGAGCGCTGGGATTGGCCCACCACACCGATAGAGCGCTGTGATTGGCCCACCACACCAATAGAGCGCTGTGATAGGCGCACCACACTGATACAGCTCTGTGATTGGCCCACCACACAGATAGAGCGCTGTGAATGGCCTTCCATATTGATTATTTTAGCACTGTGATAGGCCCACCACACCAATAGAGAGCTGTGATTGGCCCACCACACAGATAGAGCGCTGTGAATGGCCTTCCATATTGATTATTTTAGCACTGTGATAGGCCCACCACACCAATAGAGAGCTGTGATTGGCCAGACACAAGATCGTTCAGGCCTGCTGAGGCTCTAATGCAGCGTGGCTATACCGACATGCAGATCAGAATCCTTTTGCTTCTGCTTCGGTCGGTCTAGATTTCCAGACACAAGTAAACCAAAACACATAACAGTTATTTCTTTTATTTGTTCCTTTTCTCTTTTCTTTTGGACATTACACCCATTCTTTCCTCGTTAGTAAAGTTAGTAATGTTCTCATCATTGGCGACATGCAGATTCAGCTTCTATAAATGCTAAAATTTAATCGTTAAACATCCCGATATCCCAAGTCAGTCTGAACATTCTCATTAATAAGTGAAAAATCAGTGCTTGTTGACTTTTTTTTAAAATGATTCGAGAACTGGAATCCAGCCCTGTTTTCACTCAGCCTAGTCGTTAGCCCTTCAGTCCTGACAGATTTAAACTCAGTTTCTCTATTTAGCTTAAAACCATGAAACCTTTCTACAAGCTGCAAACATGTTTAGTTTTAGTTTAGACTAACTGGACCTTCAGTTATCTCCAGACCCAGGTGAAGGAATGAAACCACGTCAGCGTTAGCCTCAAAGGACCTCTAACGACTTTTCAGAGCCACTGTTGGGTTTGACAGATTTTCATAAACAAAAGATTTTCTGCTTCTCCTCTCTCTCACTTTCCGATGAATCCTTTTCATGAGGAATAACCAAACGCCGATTTAACGTTGAGATAAAAACTGGAGGAGGATCCGCGTTGATGCAACTAAAGAACAGGAAGTCGACAAACAGAGGCGTTAGTTTTAGTAGCTACACAATCTTGTTTACGTTCTTTTTCAATGTCTGTTAAAATCAATTATAACAGCACAAAATCATTAAGAAGTCATCCATAACCTTATGATTAATGTGCTGTAATGCTTTTTATGCCAGTAGTTTCCAAAGGTGGGTTCCAGTGCAAGTTGTAAGGAATGTGGTGGGCGGAGCTTCAAGAGATGCCAGCTGGGCCCTGATGCTGTACCTGATATAATTTTAAACAATGAAATGGATATTTTGGCCGTTTTTACGTAGTTTTATTTCATATTCTGAAACAGTTACATTCCTTCAAAGTCTAGTTTGTCCCTTATTTCAGCAGAAAACAGGACTCTGACTGGTCCTGCTAGTCCGAGGTGTAAAAAGGAAGGGTGAGAGTACAGCCCCCTGTGGTGCTCCTGTGCTGATGACAACCAAACCCTTCGGTCGTTCATCCAGGAGGTGGTTGAGGTGTCCACACGTGTCTTCTGGCCAGATGAAAGGGGATTTTTTAAAAGTTTAGATATAAAACTTTCACATCATTGCACCGATAGCATGATACAGCAAAACTTAATTCAGCAGCACTTTAGTTGTTATTTTTGACTTTTATCGAGCTCAGAGGGGCCGAACGATCTTTTTAATCAGGGTCACGAGTCTGTGATGCTGTTTCGTGGTTCTGAAGCTAAAACACTTTATATCCGGGCTTTTTGGGCCTCCTTAACCCAGACAGACAGTTTTGATGAGGAGGTGTTTACTGCCCATGTTTTGGTTTTCTGTCTTTGGTTTGGTGTCGGTTGTTTGGTTTGAGCTCAGCGTGAACTGACGGACCAGGAAGCTACAGTTGCTCCGTGTTGCCAGACTAATAAAGCTGTCAGGCTGACACATTTTCGCTGACTGGTTTTGAAGTATGCACATTGCCTTTCTTCTATTCAGTCATTGACATCTGAGCTTGGCACTCCTGCAGTAATTGTTTTACGAGACGCATGCGTCGGATAACCCCGAGGCATTGTACACAAATCTCAGACGGATTATGATAATTATTTTCAGGCCCTGCTGTCGGATTATGCTGACTATTTCTGCAGCTTTTCCTTCAATTTTCAGCTAGTTTAATGTAGTTTTCTGCAGCTGATCATGATGAGTAAACATCATCAACACGTCACGCTTTAATGGTTTTCTGGTGTTTGTTCCCAGGCTGTCAGGAGGAGCCACTCTGCTTGCTTCCAACTTCTATAATCGCTGACTACGTTTAATTTTTCCTTGTCAGTTGTCCTTCTTTTGTTTTATAAACTGAAATGTGAGGAATGACGTGCGGTTTGAGCACCTAATCGTCCGTCTCTCCTCGTACGTTTGAGTTATTTAGGCGTTGCCAAGTTTGACTGATGGATACAAGATGTGCAGCATGGCTGGAAATGTGGTCCTTCTGGTTCGGGTGCTTTCTGAGCCAACATTTGGATTCTCTTGAGGATGAAAACTCGTTGGTGCAAGAGATTAAAAACTCAGTTTAGAGGATGGTTATCCTAAAAGCTTTTCTTTTATCGGCACTCAAACACACTAGTGACCAGTAACTACATCTGCTTCGCATTCTGGGTTCTGGCTCCTCGTGAAGTCGTGGTGGAAGGTGTCACGAAAGCAGATCTTGGGTCATGTGACTGAAAAAGGTTTCATTGATTCTGTGGAAACTTGTTTTTGTCTTTAACTGAATTGTTTTGATCGGAAGTTTTAGCAGAAAAACAAAACGATTTGAAACATGAACAAAAAAAAATCATGAATCATGGTTACTGATGACCCCCCTCCCCCCCCCCCCCCCCGCCCCAAATTATCTTCAAAGGTATGAAACAGGAATGCTTCATGGAAGAATATTTTGATGTATAATGTGTTATAATAGCAGAAAATCTTTAAGAGCAAACATAAATCTTTAGTTTTATGCTGAGTCACCCAGGGTCGCTGGTGCCTATCTCCAGCTGTCTTCGGGCCAACAGGCGGGGGACATCCTGGACGGGTCGCCAGTCCATCGCAGGGCAACACAGAGGCACACAGGACAAACAACCCAGCACACACACACACACACACACACACCTATGGACAATTTAGAGAAACAAATCAACCTGATAATCAGGTTTTTGGATCGTGGGGGGAACCCACGCGTGCACAGGGAGAACATGCTTGCTTTATGCGGAGACACCCCCGGCCAGGATGTGAACCTAGGACCTCCTTGCTGCAAGGCAACAGCGCTAGCCTATGCGTCGCTGTGCAGCCCGCTGAGTCAGCGTAAAAAAAGAAAAAATCTGATATCACAGCAAATTGGAGAAAGTTTGAACAACATACAAAGATAACCTGGGGGGGGGGCTATAAAAAGGAACTGACAGTGGATAGGATGAGGATGGTCTGATCACCTGGGGGACAG